CGGGGGTTTAAGTGGAGAGAAAATGTTTTGAGAATGATGAGGGCAATGAATGTACAAATGCGCTTTACACAATTGATGTGTGTATGGATTGTGATAAGAATTGTATGAGACCCTAATAAAATGATTTAAAAAATAAATTAGTGTGTGCATTATGAGTTCAACCTGTCAACTGAAGATTTTTATTCAAAAGTGCCGCTGCTCACTCTTCATAAAAGGAGCCCTGGTGACATACTGGTTACGTGCAGGACTGCGAATACTCAAGCTCGGCAGTTCGAAACCACCCAGCCGCTCCACGGGAGAAAGACCGGACTTTCTACTCCGTAAAGAGTTACGGTAACTTGTCTCGGAAACTCACAGGGGCAGTTAGCTGCCCTCTAGTCGGCACTGATTCGTGGTAGTGAGTTCGTTTTGCTCTTCCGAACGTTAATGGACCGCCTTTCGTTATTTGGGAAGTTAACGGTGGCTGTACATCGACTTAAAAACAGACATCACAATTGAAGGGTATGACAGAAAGAAGCAATTTAAAAGGTGGCGCTGGCGAGCCTTTGGACATGTTTGCGTCCAACACTAATTGAGCATTTTGTTCATGTCAACGTTTGCTGCTGACAGCTCCCCGTATATTTTCCGAAGCCCATCTCACCAGCGTAAATCACAAGCCCTTGTGCAGGTTGGCTTTGTAATAGCCTAAGTAAAGTCATTTTATATTAAGCAAAGATTCTGCATCAGACCATAAATGCAACCTCAGGCCTTATTACATTCTCAGAAAAACTAAATAGCCCCTTGTTCTCAGAACTGGCAACAGACTATCCTGCACCAGGAAGTTGTGCTTATCCGCCTAACTGCAAGATCTGCTTCTGTACCAGCTTGCTTGCTCAGCTGCACAACTCAACTGTTTGATGAAACCCTATAAAAACCCAAGCCTGGGAGGGTTCGAGGCCAGTCACTCACTCTCTTTACACTCAGGTGGCTGGTCCCTGAGCAGGTGTTTTTTCTCTTTTCTGTCCCCCATTAATAAACTGCTTTCCTTTGTACCAGAGACTGAGTTGTTCTTGTCCGGTTCATGTACAACAGCCTATGGACATCGGTTTGAGGCGCGCGGGCCAGCCGCCTCACTCACCGCTCTCCTCTCCGGTCAGCGCCGGTTGCAGTCGGGCAGCCTCGCTGTCCAGGGTGACGGCCAGCGACCGCAGTCTCCCGTAGAAACTGCGGATGGGATCCATGGCGGCAAGGCCCGGGGGAAGCCGCTCCGAAGCAGGAACCCGCGGCCCAGCGGCTTCGCCCGGGCTCTCTCACCACTCTACCCGCCACTGGTTTGAATCTCAAGTCGCAGGAAATTCCCGAGAAGACGCGCACGCAAGCTCTCGCGAGAGGTGGGCTCTCGCGCGACGTGGCGGGGGCACTTCCGCCGTGGCGTCCGCTGACTTCCGGCGCAGCTCCAGTCGCCCAGCTGAGCGTGCTGGTGAGTTCGCCGGCCTCTGGCGGTGGGACTTCTCCGCCTGTCGGCCTTGGCTGGTTGTTTTGGGGGTCCCGTGCGCATTCCCGGGACGGGTGTGTGGTGTGAACCGGGTTCGCGCGTCCCGCCTTTCTGCCCTCAGGTCCGGTTTCTGTCCCTTCTTTGCAGCCACCATGTTCCTGACCGCCTTCCTCCTCCGCAATCGCATTCCCGGAAAGATGTGGATCGGGAAGCACCGGCGGCCGCGGACCGTGTCCCACTTCTCCAAGGAGAACATGATCCGTCGCCTGGAGATCGAGGCGGAGAACCACTACTGGCTGAGCACGCCCTACCTCACCGCCGAACAAGAGTTCGGCCACGCCGCGGTCCGCAGGGCCCGGGCCTTCGAGGCCATCAAGGCGGCCAGCACTTCCAAATTTCCCCCTCACCGGTTTGTAGCCGACCAGCTCGACCATCTCAATGTCACCAAGAAATGGTCCTAAGTTCGAGTGTCCACCCTTCGGTGTTACAGAGGGCAAGGCTGCCTCTCGTCACCCAATCACGGAAATGGGCAGCGATCGGCCAGTTTTACTTTTTTTACAGAGACATAAGCAGAGTAATCTGCAGCTAAACCACCGTAGTGGTACTCTTCGACCTTTTTGTACCAACGGGATGCTGGAGATGACCTTGGTGTGACATAAAGCATATTCTGAATGAAAATACAATAAATGTAGGTTGGGGTTCTGTTCAAGTTATTTGATTTATTAATCATACAGTGCAAGTGTATCGACCTTCTGTCAAGAATCATGTAAGTTAATACTGCCATCATGCCCCGTTAGGACAGAGTAGAACTGCCCCTGTGGCTTTCCAAGGCTGTAAATCTCTATGGGAGCAGAAAGTTTTCATCATCCCCTGGGGAGCAGCTGGTAGGTTCAGAAGTGCTATGGTTAGCAGTCCAACTGGAATCCATGACGCCAGTGCTCTGCAAGTTAGTGTCGGTTTACATCCTCCCCTTCCGCTGTGGTTCCAGATGAAGAAAGGCTGTGGTTCCAGATGAAGAAAGGCTGCGTGCAGGCCTTTAAGACCCGACACTGCAATGTATTGGAAGGTAGAAGCACTGGATGTGTTATTAACAATAATCAATTGGGATGTCCCATGAACTCATAAGCCTAAACTTCCAAACCCAAGAGCCAGCTCCCATGAGCTGTTTGGTTGAAGGAGCAGCTCTCGACACTGAGTTGGAATTGCTCGAAGTCAGGAAGAGAGTAGGAGCCCTGGTGGCACAGTTAACATGTTGGACTGTTAACTGCTCATCAGTGGTTCAAAGCCAACAGTTGCTCCACAGAAGGAAGTCCAGGCTTTCTTCTCCTGCAGACTTAGACAGTCTCCAAATCCACAGGAGCAGTTCTACCTTGTCCAGTAGTCACTAAGAGTTAGAAATGATTCGATGGCAATGAGTTTTGGTTTTTGATAATTACAGCAGTTTCTAAAATGAAAATTACATTGTGTTCAGTCAAAGCTATGTTACGCCCTTTTCTAACATACCCAAATTTGATTAATCCATTTTCATGCACACAAATCACGCCTATCTTAGTGGTTACCCCACGGTAACTCTTGCTATGACCTACTTGATTTGATTTTCAAGTTGATCAGAATTAAGTTAGCCTCTCATTTGGCAAATACTCCTTGATAACAAAAGACTCAAACATGGGGATTCGTTTTTATTTCTTTATTATATTAAAATAATTATGACTTTCGAAACCAATATTTAAAAATGATCTGCTTTCATGTTAATGTAGGGTAGGCCGGGCCATCCAAAAGACAAAGCAAAGAGTCAACTTGAAGTCATGGTCCAGGGTTATGCGTATGAGAAAGAACATGCTTCATGGCACTAAGTAGAAGCAGCCAAAGTAAACTGTATTTCAAATTTGTATTTATATAAAAGCATATTAAAGATCACGTTAAAATAGTGTCCATCTCTTCTTTTAAAATGGGCATAGGCTCATCTGCAATCATATACAAATATAGTAAACTCAACCCATTTGCTTTCTTAATCGTTTAATACAAATACAATTTCTTGCTTCCTTATTTAACCCAACAAAATAATATAAAGTGAAGGCATTAGAAAAATATGGATCTTTCTGAATCTATATTGTATTTTTAAGGTAAATTGGAAAATATTAATATAAGAAACATGGGATTTCAGGTTTATATAGTAGCTGTACTTAGTAGATTATTAGGTATGGACTTTATTTTGACTGAAATGCAAAAATAGGATTACTTCTTTCATAAATCGGTTATAAAATACCTTCCATTGGCAGCAGTGCCAGTCTGAGAACAAAATGTGAGCTGGGCGTATTTGTAAATCACTGCCTACTTAATGTCCAGATTATGCAGATTACCTTCAAGCCCTTCATATACACTTCTTTACAGATTACTGCATGGAAAGCTCAAATTCTGATAGTATTTTAATCTCGTAAACATCGTCAAAACCTTTCTAGTAGAAACAAAATTCAAGTAAATGTTGCATATTTGATTTTAACTATACTTAGGACAATTAGAACCACTCCTTATGTAAAAATATTTTTTTTTAAAGTCATCCATTATGTAAAGATGAAAAAAGCTGTAAACCTGTTTGTTTGAATAACTAGGATACTGTAGCTGCTCTTTGGTCTGGCATAGTAACACTGGTCAGATGGAATACTTGGGCACATTCATGCCCATGTAAACCAAGTCTCCAAGTTTGTTTTTAATGGCAATGGCAAGACCTGAAGTTCAATTTCTAGTCCTTAAATGGTGTCACAAATGTTCAAATCCTTGAAGGACAAAGGATAGTACTTAAAAACTTTGACAGGACTTCAGTTTGAGTTTTTCTCCCCAAGCAGTTGGTGTCAATAATTCGTATCAATTGAAATACCAAAGAAGCAGCCTTTCTTTTGATCCCCTTACTACCTGTAACGGGCCCCTTCCTCAATGGGCATTAATATGCACCAACAAATGCAGCCAAGTACTGGAGCTTGGCAACAGATAAGTTAAAATCTAAGGGAGCTTGAGCAAAAGACTTGAAATAAAAAAGCTTGAAGTGTCTACTATGTCTTGGAGAGGAAGTGAAATAACAGGCATGAGAAGAACTGTGAAATATTATAGTACTACAAGAAGGGGGGGGGGGAAAGAAGGGGGAATGATGTTCCCTCAGTTTTAATCAAGTGCATGCAGAGCCTTTTAACTAAAGGTAGAGAGTCCCAGGGGAAATTTCCTGATAGTGATCAAGTAAGCCTAAATATCTACTGTTTCCAAGGGAAACGGACAAACGGAAGTGATGTTTTTGTTGGTAAGTGACACCTTGTAAATGTCCTACACATAAGTTTTCTAGAATCAAGGTTAATATGACTGGAGTTATAATAAAGGTAGTATTCCAAAGCTACGATAACTTCACTCCTTTGGGTCAAACGGCAAAAAGTTATTTTCTTTTAAAATCTTTTTTTTAGCCAATATAATTAGATAAGCTCTATAAATTGTAAACCAGGCATAGTTAGCTAGAAAAACTGATGTTATATCAGGAATTATAGAGCTATTATGCTGTCTATAGTATTTGGCATTTAGAAGGTACCCCCAAAATATTTGTTGAATGAATGAAAAGTTACTACCTTGCAAATTAAGAATCAAAGAACATTAGAAGTCATCCAGTTATTGACAGGCCTCCCCCTACCCTAATTTTTCAGGTAAGGAAAGCCTTACATGCTTCTCAACATGCTTGTTAAGATTTCTAATAATCTGTTGGAAGCAATCTTTTTGGATTGTGTTTGAATAAACAGTATAAAGCCCTATATGGGTTCTCTGAAACGACACTATGCTTTTCTTCAGAATCACTCCAGTCATTCCTCTTGTTCTGAATGGATGTTAACAGGAGAGGTTATCTAGGCAAAAAGGGTGCTTTCACGGAAATCAGAATGAAAATTCTGCATTTAAAAGAAATCCGTTTTATAGGGACTGAGAGGATGGTGGAATGACAACTCGGGTATCGGGATTTCTTTCCCGCAGTTCAAGTGCACTTCAGATCCACGTTTAAGCTATTAGAGGCTTAGTGTAAAACTTTCAACATAATTTTCAGGAATTACCATAGTTAAAATTTGAAAGACATCCTAAGTACCTTAATGAAAATATCCTCTGAACAGCTTACAATAGCCTGCCTATCTTCGTCTTTTCTCTCCTCCTAGTCACTTCCATCTACCCCAATTGCATCAGTCTCTGTAGCACACAGACCTGCAAGTTCAATAGCAACAAAAAAAAAGAAAGGCAATGAAAACCCCAAATATTTAAGACTGCCAAGTTCCCCTTAAACCTTGGGCATACGATAAGCTATGTGTTTGTACACGTGATTATAACTCAGTCTTTAGTGAACTATACAAATGTGCTCTATGATTTAAATGATTATATTTAGGGATCTGAGTCCCTCTGAATGTTATAGCCAACAATAAAAAAATTAGAAATTATTGAAAGTATAAAACTAATTATAAATTGGACATCCAATTAAAAAAAGCCGTTATTTCGTTTTCCTTATACAGTTTCTAGGCAACAGTACTTTCGATGGTGATTATCTACTTTCAGTCACCACAGGATCCTAGGCAGACTCAGATAAGTTTTTAGCTTGTGTTGTTGGAGTGAAAACATGGTTGGAACCAACTCATGGTAAGAATGCAACTCAGGCACCCCACAAACTACATGTGTTAGTCATGTGATCTGACAGCTCGTGTTGCGGCATCTCATAAAGGTGTTATTTCCAAAGTAAAGCGCAGCCACTTCTGCGGCCTGGTCACAGCTGCGCTGACGGACACGTGAGATCAAGGCATCATCCTGGAGGGTGCGTCTGGGACAGTGACTGTACCAAGGTTTCCTGTTTCGTAAAAAATACATCTTCTACTGGACTTCACTTCATCCCATTGGTCATTTTTCTTCCAAATAAAACTGAAAAGTATCAGTTCATATGGATTTCCATAAACCTGTTTTAAAAAAATGCATTACTGGTTAACACTTGATTTCATCTTTCTGCCTATGAGATGCAGTAAATGGCTCTGCAGGCTAAAGGTCTAAGGCTGGTAAGACAGGACACGTAGGTTCCGACACTTTAAGTAATATAATGAGGTTTTAGTAAGCAGTAACTAAGGGGGTAGCAGTGGTCTTCTTCCCTCTGCACAATCACTACAGCACTCCCCTGTTTGGGGCTAGGACATCATCTGAGGGAGGAGACTAGGTCCTCAGACTGCTAGGCAGTCCCAGCACCAGCCACGCCCTCTGTAGCACCATCACAGGAGGTCAGAAACAGTAGGCTCTTGCAGGCTTCCTCAGACGCCAACTCCTGACCCAAGTGAGCCCGGAAAGCACACAGGATTCAAGGAACTAAATCCTGCCAACCCACACATGAGCAAGGAAGGAGATGCTCCCCTACTTGAGCAATGACCTGATGCGCAGCAACAGGTAACAGATGCACGCTGTCTACACCTGGGGAGCCCAAGTTGGTGGTTATTTGTTAAGAAGCAGCCAGTGACTAGTGAACACTGTAAGTCAAAACCACAAATAGCTTAGCTGGGTGAGAGGCTATTCAGCTTAGTGCCTGCCTGAATTTTTCCCCGCTTTACCTGAAGGGAGCAAATACTACATCCTCACAGTTTAACCTCAGTGCACCTTCATGGTGTATACTACAGCTTGTACATCACTTATAATTCTCTCTCTCTGAATTTTTAAAAATTGTTCTTTAAACTTGTTTCCTGTGTCTGGGCATACAAAGTGTACCCAGCTAGAGGAAACAATAGAAGCTGGTGATGTAGTTGGTTACGTGCTGGGCTGCTAACTGCAAGCTCAGCAACTCAAACCTACCAGTCGCTTTCCAGGAGAAAGACGAGGCTGGCTGCTCCTGGAAAGCTTTCAGGGACTGGGTTGTTGCAGTCTGTCCTATAGGTTCACCATGAGGTGGACTCTTCAGCCTATACTTTTTGTCATTCTACTCTGGATCAAGTTTCTTAATACTGAACAAAAGTCACTTCTTGAACTGACTAATAAGACAGCCTATATGGGAAAGGTCTGTCACCCACATAAACTGGCAATTTTTGCTGCTTTCTTCATTAGAAGCAACCAACCACCACCAGCAAAACCAAACCTACTGCTCTCAAGTCCACTCTGTCCCAGGGCAGCCGTGTATAATAGGGCAGCACTGCCCGGCAGGGCCGCCAAGTGAGAATCTTCACGGGCAGAGAGCCTCATCACGCTCCTGGGAAGCAGCTGGTGGGTGTGAACCACTGATCTTGCAGTTAGCAGTCCAGCATTTAACTTGTGGCATACCAGGGCTCCTGTTTCTTTAGTAATCTCCCAGCAGATAGTTACTGAGATGGTGGGAGGAGCGTTAGGAAAAATGGCATATAAGTAGATGCCAATGCTACTGTACCCTCTGGTGTCTGCTGAACTCATTTTGCTGATATCATTAAAAAGAGGGAAAATCCAATTATTTATAAAAAGATTATTGGACATGCAAATGAATGGGATTTGTCCAAGAAAATTATCTTTATACTATCTTACCTTGCTGTTAGTCAAATGGTTAGTTATGAACAAGAGGTACTCAATTTTCTACTGCCACTGTAACATGGTTAGTTGTCCCTGTAAGTACATAATTACATGTGAAATGACCAAAATAAAACAAAATATGCATTAGTTTCTGGTTCAGTGCTAAAATTTGCGATGATGGCAAAAGTTAACTACTATGTCGTATTAAAAAGGTGGCTGCCCACCACCCATTTGTCTTCCTGTGGGGCTCAGAAGGAAGCACAGTAGCTGTCACAATGCAAAGGCTGCTCTCACACTTGCTCTGTTATCAAGAGACTAGGTGGCAAGGGTTCAGAAGCTCATTACCCTGTGACCTTACAGACGGTGACAGGTGACCCTGAGAAAGATCGTAACGAAATCAATGCACACGAATGTTTCAAAGGCTGCTAAAGTGCTAAGAAAGAGAATAAAAGCTTAGGAATTCTCACACTAAGTGCTAGGGTATTTCTCTGGGTTGGCAGAACAACTTGAGCGTCTGTCCCCCATTTCCTACAGTGCAGGGAGACGATGGCAAAATGATTACTCTGAGTATTATTAGATGCCTTTCGACACTCCGAGCGCTGGTACTTGGCTAGCCTCTACTGCAAAGCCAGGCCAGACTCAAAAGCCCATTTCTGTCGTAACAGTGATTCTACACCACACCCACTATGCACGAAGTGATCAACAGTCATTAAGAAAAGGTTAAAACATCATCAGGGCATTCTTTTTAAAAAATTAAGGCAGTAAAGAATTCTTACTACGCCTTTCAAAAACTAGTTCCAACTTAAGAATCCTCAAGAGTAATCTAGTTCCACACATGAGTTGGCGTATACAAGGCCTAAAGAACCTTCCGTATATTTGAGGTAAAAAGTGTGGGACTGGATAGCACGCACGCACGCACGCACCACCCTTCCCCCCTCGGATGAAAAGCAGCAGCAGCTACTACCCTTTCTTCCTCCAAAAGCAAATACACATTAACAGCCCCTGCATGAAGACCATCAAGTTACTTTCCCACATTTATGAAGTCGGGTAGTTTCCCGTCTCACCAGCTACAGCACGGCTGAGAGAAGCATCACCTGCTCGGACAGCCCCTTCATCAGATCCATTTTCCGTCCATTGAGATTCACTATCCAACAATCGGTTTTTTGATTCACTAAGCGGTTTGATAGGGAAGGGTGGATTTGAGCCAATACTGAAAAGAGGAGCAAGTCATTTTGTAAATAGCTTAATGCTTGACTCAGGATACTTAATAAATTAATAAGCAGCAAATTAGTACTCTTCCTAAATATGTGAGGGCAGCTCATGGGATCTTAGTACTCTGGGGAAAAAAAATCTTCCAAAGAAAAATGCACCCCCGTCCATCCCCCAACTCACTGGACTTCTCTCTTGACCCCAGGATCTGTACTCCAGCAATGCCAGGGAGAACAATTAGACAAAGGAAAAGGAAAAGAAAAAAGCTTCCAGGCCAGCCTGAAATGCTTTTAATGAGTTAATTAAGAGCCGGAAGGTAGGAGGACAGGCGAGGATCTGTCTGTGACCAGTACAAAAAAATTACCTGTCATTTCCCAAGTTTTCTGCTTTCTACCTCTGCAGTTTAGATCTAAGGGGAAAAAATGATTGAATGATTTCGTGTAGACTTATTTCACTAGCTAAGAGATCCAGGGAGGGTGAGAACAGAGGGAGGCAGCAAAGGAGGAGGGTAGGGGAATTAGCACTTGTGTTGCCTCTCTCCTGAGCTGGACTCTGCACCCAGTGCTTTCTGAACATGACCTTGAACCCCTCAAGCATCCCAGGATGGAGGTCTGTCTCATTTACAGAGGCAGAAACGAAGGCTCAGAGCTTGACTATCTAAGGCTTCCAGGTTCTGGGTTCTGGGGCCCAGGGTTATCTACCAAGAATAGGCTAGCTTGGACTTTACAATCCACCCCATCGCCCTCTATACCATCATAAGATTTATGATGGAATTTGCCTTTTCAACAGTTAAATTTCGATCCTAGTCTCTAGCATTTTTAAAGTTTCATTTCCAATGGCTTAACTCTCAGACTCTGTGAAACCGCTTGCGTGCCAAGAAAGGTCTATAAAAAAATGTCCACCATGAGGAGCTAATGAGGTAAAGATTTAGAATTGTATTTTTGCACCCTCATTAATAGTATTTTACCACTGCAGTTAAAACTCTGTTTGTCACATGGACAACAACCGTAAATAGTAGAATGACTAATTTCTTGGGAAAAACAACAACAAAAAAACAATGGACAGAAACCAGTTTGTAGGGCAATGCAGCATTTTTTTTTTTTTTTACTTCTAGACCTTTATTTGTCTGTGAAAAGGGGAAAAGAGAAGGAGGGAAGAATAAAATAAAAACAACACAATTGACACAAAAAAATCACTGAGGTGGAAGGAGGGAGGGAGGGAGGGGCAATGCAGCATATTTAGACTGGTTGTGCTTCCCACGCAGCCCAGATAATTCCAGTTTTATGCGACTGTTCTGGTCTAGTGATTTATCAGTAGCAAGCATTTTTTTTCCTTCTCTTAGAAGTGTTTTGGTTTGGAAGACAAAACGTAAGCACATAAACTATCAGCCCTTAGTTAACAGAAAAGGTACAGAGAATCTCCCTACTGAGGATGGCTTGAGTTACTGTTGAATTTATTACACTAGTATGTATGTATCACATCCACACAGCTTGCTTTATAATGAATATTAAAATCCTAAAACACCCAATGACAAGAAACAAACCTTCTGGCAAATTCAGTCTGGCTTGTAACGGAAGCTTGTTCTGGATCCGAGCCCACAAGGCGAGTTGGAAAACTGCAACCATCCCCTAGACTGCAGCAGGAAAAACAGGAGTCAGACATGTTCACATCACCTCAAGGGGAAGCAAAGCAGCCAGCTCGGATACCCAGCTTTTCAGAGGCCTGGGATAAATCACCCTCAGGGAACCGTCTTCAAGACTTCTAATCTAGAAGGTTATTAGCTGCCCCCAAAGAAACAAGCTTTCTTCTCTTTTAATCTGTGCAGGGGCAGAAAGCACTGCCTGTTCCACTGCGATTTACCTAAGTGTTGAAAAAACATGGCTTATTGTGAAGATTCTTAGACTCACTATTAAGATGATGATGCCCAGACTATTTCAAATATAAGTAACCACATATTTGGGGACCAATCTTCGAGTCTGGAACTGAAATTCATGGGAAAAGCTCCATGGCTGTATTTCCCCACGTATTTAAAGTTTCAACAAACAAAGATATTATCTGTTTCTGATGGTCCAGCTACTATTCTCAGAAGAGGGAGAGGGCAGTGAACAGGAGAACCTCTCTGCCTTCAATCTCTCCATCAGTACAGTTATGCTTCTGTTGATAAACATCACCAACTGTTTTCAAAATGGGCAGAACAGGACTGACAGCTCTGAAAGAAGAGAAACAAGCCAATGAACCCCAGCTTTCAGCCAGGACAAGGTGACAGGGAGTCTTCCTGGATTGAGGTGACAGAGGTAGGAGCTTGGGGAGCCTGAGGTGGTTTGGATCTCCGAGGGAGGACTACAGAAATTTGCAGTTAGGCATGAAAGCCTTGTGGTAAGTACTCAGCTGTAATTATAAATCGGGGGGGGAAACACACAGCTAGGAAGTGTAAACTGAACAATTCACACAGCTCCCACAGGAGTGTGGGCACTTGAATTTGACCAGGATGGGTATTGGACAACCAGATCTGAGGCTAGCAGGCGCTTGTCTTAGCTGTAGCCTCACAGAAAAGTCTACTCTAGATTCAGCCTAACCATGCCCAAAACAGGCCTCAAAAGGATCAGGCAGAAACACCCGCAACTTAACAGTGTGGCAAAACAAAATTCAACATCTTTACAGACAACAAAATCCAGAGAGCTCGGCCAACTAATACCCTATACGTCTAACCGTCAATCAAAGATCACCAGACAACAAAGCAGCAGGAAAATGTAACACAAGAAGGAGAGAAAACTCAAGTCAATAGAAATAGATCTGGAAATGACAATGGAAGTGAACAGGAACTTTCAAAGAGTGATTACAAATACATCTGTGAATATGTATATGCAATGACTGTAATGCAGAGCAAAGTGGAAGAAATGAATTCAACTTTCAGAACTGAAAAATACCGTTCTCTGAAGTTTAATATACGTATGTATAGGATAGGCTCAACAAGTTATAGATGCTGCAGAAGAATAAGCCAGTGAACTTGAAACTACCCAAGAGAAACTACCCAGCCAGAAGATAGCACAGAGGAAAAAGCCAGGAGTTGGGGACAGAGGACCACTGGCTACCAAGTCACATAACACATGTGGAATTGGAGTCCCAGACAAGCTGGGAGGAGAAAAAGAAAAAGCAGGTTGGGAAGAGGGTGGTAGGAAGGAGAGTCAACACTAAAATGGGTAAGAATTAGTCAAATTTGATAAAAATGATAATCTCACAAATTTAAGCAGCCAAATGAAACTCAGATGAGGTACATGCCAAAAAAGCACACTAATGGAAGTCATCTATTTAGGGGAAATATTCTTTAAAAATATCTGTTCCCCAAGCAAACTGAAAGCCTTACAATACATGAGCCCTGGTTATAGTACACAGGTTTTATCCAACTGAACAAAAGTGAACAGGGCATTAGTGAGCTGTGGGTTGCTGCTGAATCCTGATCAAAAAGGGGGAAGCACATCAGATTTTCAAATTCTCATAAACTCTACTTTCTGGAGCCATGGCAACTGGGTGAATCTCTGAGATGCCCTTTAAACTTTAAACCAAAAACATTCCCCGAAGTCTTCTCAAAACCAAACAATAGCTTGGCTTGACTAGTATACTGTCTGCCTGGAGCAGTGTGCTCTCTGAAGAACGGTCTGCACGGGAGGAACAGGAGCCCCAGCTTATGCTAATGGAGGGGGAAGGACTTGAAGGGGGGGGGCGAGAACGGCTGCACAGTGGTAACCAGTGTCTCTGAACTGTACGCGCAGAAGCATGACTGCTGTGCCTATTCCGCACAGCACCAAAAGAAATACAAGTCAGGTGGGCAAACAAGAGATTAAGTTCAAATGAACTGCTGTTGACTTGTTCTGACTCATGGTGACTCCACGTGGGTCAGAGTTGAAGTGTGCCCATCGGGTTCTCAGCAGCTGCTTTGGGGGCAGTCGATTGTCAGGCCTTTGTTCGGGTGGACTCAAATCTCTATCCTTTCGGTTAAGCACTGTTTGCCCCATGACTCCAGAAAAGCACAAGAATTGACACTTAACAGGCATAGTTTCAACGATTCTGTAGGTGCATGATATGCTGTGTTGAGCCATACATCAGAGAAGACTGAATATAGCTCCCGAGAGTCCTTGATTTAGGGTGTGTTGGTGGGTGCTACACCTTACAATCATCCCTTTTTTGGGGTGGGGGTATTATTAGTAATACGAGTGGGCACCACAAAGTTTGTGGCAAACAATCTTTTAGTTAAAGGAGCGCGGGTGGTGTAGTGGTTACACGTGGGGCTGCAACCTGTAACACCCCCAACTGAAAAGCACCAGCTGCTCCGGGGACAAAGACGAGGCTTTCCACTCTCAGAAAAAGTGAGTCTTAGAAGCTCCCAGGGCAGTTCTACCCTGTTGTAAAGGGTCACTATGAGTCAGCATCCACTGGACGGCCATCAGTGTTGGTTTTGTTTTGGGGGGTGGTAGTGGTGGTGTTGGTACTACGTACAATGCTGCAGCAATTCAATGTTCACTCTGAGATGTTTGATTTTATGATTTCCTGTTTAAAACATTGTTGTTTATCAAGCGAGGGCTGCGGCTACAAGGATGGTGGTGGTGGGAACCCCAACAGAGAGTTGAAAAATGTTCAATTCTACTGACAGATACCAGCCGAACCTCACCTGTGCCTGGTGGCCATCAGGATTCTGACCTTCACTATCACAACATGGGCTTCACTGTTGGCCAGGCCATGATCTTACTCGGTGTTTTATACCATAAGAAGTATCGGCTATAAATTCTGAAATGAAGTGTTCTAGTTCTCTCAGAACCAATTTATTGTAGACCCATTGGGAAAGACCCTGTTATTAAATTGAGGACCATCAGTACAATTTTTACCTCAAATGAATTCTTTCTCCTTTAATTCAAAGCTTAGGCCATACCAAAGTCACTACAGAGAAGGGAAAAATATTAGACATTCAAGTAACATATTTGTCGTGTTTTCCTTTCTCAATTAACTGAAGTGCCTTTTTCTCCCTTCATTATTTTGCCTTCATTGTTGAAGGTCACTTTGGGTGTGTGATTCTAGAAGATGCTTCACGATATCCTGGTTTGTGTTTTTTCCTTCCCTGATGGGAATTTCCTATCACTCTGCCTTCGATCCTGTATCTGCCATGTGTCTTCTGTTTGTCCCCGTCTGGCTGGTCAGGACTTTCTCTTCGTTTCAGGCAATGTGATCAGGATGTGTCTTCATGGATTTCTTTGAGCTTCTTTATGCTTGGGGGTTGTTTGAGCCCCTTGGGTCTTGAGTTTTTTAGGTGTTATCACATTTGGAAAAAAGGTTAACCATTATTTCCTCAACTCCTCCTTCTGTCTCCCCAGGTGACCATAAGAACCCCAATTGTGGTTATGCTAGGCCACTTGACATTCTCCTGGAGTCCCTGGTAAATGGCCAAAGCACTCAGCTGCTAACAGAAAAGGCCGGAACCCTCGAGTCCATGGAGGCACCTCACAAAAAAGGCCTGGTGACCGGCTGACCCAGGAGCACCATTCTACTGCCACGTTACGTACGCGGGGTTGTATCTCCATGATAACTGGCTTCCTTACCATTCTCTACTGTAAACAACTTACTTTAATTTTAAAGGGGAAAAGAAGAGTTTTTTAAAAGGTAAGCCATCCCTGTTTTCCCCTACATTTTACACACTCAAACTCTCCTTTACTCTAATTTAAAAAATTAAAAATTGTAAATGGATAAAATCGTTTCTATCTGATCAAGATATTCTGAGTTTTTGTTCTTATGGCCCCCGCCCAAAATGCGATTATATATTATTCTCTGAATCTTCACAGATAATAAACTATCACAGATCACATAATTTCTGGCATGCGAGCTCGAGCCTTTACCTTGAAAATATTGGAAGTAGCCAGTATTTCTTTTCATCACCAAAGACTTCTCTCCAATTTTTACTGTAGCCAAGAGAGAAACCATTTCCATCAGGTCCATATGAAAATGTAGATGCCCGGAAGGATTCTGTTACGTTAGACAAACCAATAAACCGCATCAGTCTGATTAAGCATTATAGGAGAGATGGACTATGCCAGTTTTTGCACTTTATATTTTTTACACAAAAAATATAAGTATAACTTAAAACAATATAGTTGTGGCCGTTAAAAGATGAAATGTTCTGATGCTTAGCTGGGAAAAGTATTTCATCAACATTGTAACCTCACTTAAGTCATTATTTATAAGTCAGCTACTATTTACTTGATGATGGTTTTGAGTATCCAAAGATGAATTACCAAATATACTCGTGTATAAGCCGAGTTTTTCAGCACATTCTGAATGTAGTTTATGTGGTAAAATTAGGTGCCTCGGCTGATATTTGGGTCGGCTTACACTCGAGTATATACGGTAGGTAAAATTTCTATGGAAGAAGCCAGTCTCACAACAATCTTTTCTAAACTTTCACAAATGTCTTCAGTGCCAAACTTGTCCATTATACATTGGGTCAATTCTTTCACGGAGGTGAACAAACTCAACTTGTCTAAATACAGGCACGAGGGAGGTTTCAAAAAGTTTGTGGAAAAATTCCATTATCTTTTGATTTTATTTTTCCATGGGGTTTTTGAAGGCCCTCATATGTCAAACTGTGGGGTGCTGGTCGGGAAGGTGCGATACTGGGACGGTAACACTTGATCATGAACAGTGGGCAGGAGATGAGGGCACAAACGGTAATCAGAACCACTCTTTAGTCCGATCTAGCTGCCCATAAAATAGAATGGGGGCTTGAAAAAGGTACCTATTTCACAAGAATGATTTCATTCTTTCTTTTTAAAACAATTCAACCTATTTCAGCATGCTTTCTAAGCTAAGGATAGGAAGCAACCAGGGCACTGGAGAGGGTGATGAGATAGCAAAAAAGAAAAATACAGGAATGTTTGTGTGGGGCTCTAAAGGTCAGCAGATGCAAGTTCACATGTGACTGTGTCTGATCCTTTTGGAAAGACGACCCACAAATGGGTAATGTTCGGGAGAATGGCACAAACCTGCAATAAGTGTTGTCAGGACTCTCTGATCAGAGGACCTAATTAAGGTGACCAGAAGTCCCGCTTTTGGTGGGACAGTCCCGATTTTTGGCATTTTAAAAAAGTCCCGATTTTTGGAAAGAATGCACAACAAGCTAGGGAATGGTCTATTTGGTCCATATAGACCAAATTTTTAATCAAGAACCCCGCCCCCTGGTCAATGGTGTCCCGCCTTAAGTCTGGTCACCTTAAGTCCTAAATGAAACCTGCAGTTGGAACCATTTCTGTGCCAAGGAGATGTCCTTCTGTAGCTTTCAACAGCCCTCTTTCCCCTGGGCCCCTGGGCAAAAGAAGAACGGGAGAAAGCCCAGGAGCAGAAGATGCGAGGGAGCCGTCACGCCTTGGTGAAGGCGTTTGCCATCCTTTCTATATGGGAGGAGAAGGGCGAGAGGTGCAACCAGAGGTGCAGTCAACACTGTGTGGTGGAGGATGGGCAGTGCTGTGGCCTGTTGTGCACAGGGCCGCTATGGGACGGAATAGACTCCGTGGCACCTAGCGACAACCACAGGCAGAAAACATCAGTCTACTACACAATGTCGAGATCTGTGCTGTTTGGGGAGATCTGAAATATTTTCTTTATATGATTTTAGCCATTGTGTGCATTCAGTAGCTTATGCTATCCAATGCATTTCTGACTCTAGCCACTGGGAACAGAGTTGGTTGGACAAAGGCTGTTCAAAGAGACCCGGAGCTTTCCGTACCTCCAATACTGGCAGGGGGTGGGTAGGACACACAGGCAGATGCCACAGGAAATGAGGCAAATTACGGTCCAGGCTCATCTCAAGCAACGGGCTACTACTCAGCACCGACTGGCTGAGGCCACAATGGAAAATAGGCCCACTGTGACTTATTCTCAGTTTGGGAAAGAAGAAATCCACTTATTTATGTGAAATCTCTCAGGTTTTAGATGGTGTCGGGCAGTGGTTCTCCACCTGTGGGTCGCGACCCCTCTGGGGGTTGAACCACCCTTTCACAGGGGTCACCCGATTCATAACAGTAGCAACAGTAGGAAAATAATTTTATGGTTGGGGGGTCACCACAACATGAGGAACTGTATGAAAGGGTCGCGGCATTAGGAAGGTTGAAAACCGCTGGGGTAAGGGGTCCGGAGGCTGGACTTTACCTTTTTCAAGACATTCTTGAGGAAGGTATAAATCAGGTAATGGTCCAAGGCAGTTGATCTGGACTAAGAAGGGATGAAGGTGTGACGGAACTAGAGGATGTGGAAGGGTAAACCAAGGAAGGAAAGGCCAAGATAGAAGGCTCTCATAATTTACATGATTTAAGATAAAAAATGATTGAAATATGAAATTATCTTAAATATTTCCTTTAAAAGGCCTTTGTTTTTTAATCTTAAAAAGTGTACCCTTCCAATATTCCTGGCAGATGTACATAACTAAATGACAGTTGATTCTATGGCAATCATTCAGTTTGAACAATACCATTATCTTTGTACATAAAATGTTTTTCCAATAATTATTTATGGTAATACCTTACAGAACTCTTCCTCTGTATTATTATCTTACAAACGAGGAAAAAAACAAACCAGGAAGTACATTCTAATAGTAGTAGTAATATGATACGTAAGTTTCATGACAAATGATACCAGATAGAGTGAGTAAGCACGTGAGAAGCACTACTCTTCAAACCACCAGCCGCTCTGAAGGAGAAAGGTGAGGCTTTCCACGCCCACACAGAGCCACAGTCTGGGAAACCCACAGGGCAGTTCTGCCCTGTCCTGCCTGGTCTCTGAGTCAGAATCGACTCGACAGCAGTGAGATGCCAATTGTGTAATAAAGTGTGGGAGGGAAAACGCACAACACACAGATGAATGCGTATGATGTGTTCGTTAACATATTAGGATTTGAACCTACTTGGAGCTGAGAAGGAACCTGCTTATGGAGTGTGAATCTACTCTTTCACAGATTGATTTGGTGAAGGTATTCTATAAATGCACAAAGCCTTCTTTATTTAATAAAACTCAGAAAACAAATCAGGTCTCTACTTTGATCTGCAATGAATGCATTACAGAAAAAAAAGAACCAGTTCAATTCACTTCGCCAACTTTCTTCAAAATAATTGACTTTTGTGTTATGTGCCCACAGTTCCTGTCTAAAGAAGCAAACCCACGACCATGGAGTCAATCAGAACGCAGAATGACCCTCCTGGGGCCCAGGCCTCAGAAGTCTTGACAGGGGTTGACAGCTTCATCTTTCTCCCACAGAGCAGATGGTGGCTTTGAGCTGCCGACCCTGCTTTCAACGCTTCATTATCGCTTGATTGTTGCTCTTTTCTAGATGGCCCACCCGCTTGCAGTCAGTTTCCTACGTCACTGGGATTTACTCCAGCCTACGGACCTATTGTTGTCCGGTTTTTCCCCACCAGCCAGCAGTGGTAGCTGAGGAGCGACAGGACGCTGATGAAGAACATCGCGGCCACAAAGAAAAGGAAGAGGACGTGGAATTTGGCGCGCGTATCCGACAGCTCGTTCTGCAGAAGGAGGAAGAACGAGTTAATTTCAGATAGTCAACTTCTGAATGATGTTCAGGTTGTTCTGTCTTCCTAAGGATTGTTGGGCCTACCCCCAAACAGGCCAAGTACAAGGAATAACAACGTAGCTGATACACCCCAAAGCAGAGAGCTATTCTCTAGACCAAGAGGTCGGGAGACGTTATCTTCTCAACAGCTCGTCGGTGATTCACAACTTTCGGAATGGTCTCGGGGGAAAAAAGACCAAGAGGGAGTATTGTGATCAACCACCTTTTTTTCTTCTCACTTTCACACAGGTATTCCGGCTCTGCCTGGTACCCAGCATGTGGCAGGCTTCCCCTCGCCCATGTGAAAGTATTTTATTATGCAGCTGCCCACCAGACACCCACAAAGGTGCCTTCCCAGTCTGGGGTAGTCGTACTTCGCTACTGGCAGTGTGCTACGCACTGTTGCAATGGTAGCACTGGCCTCAGCTGTTCTGCCTCCTCTACTTCTTACCCCTGCTCCACTGCGACACAGCTCTGCAGGTAACTAGCAAGTTGGAGCAATAACTTTACCTTCTGGAATGAGTGATTGAAAACTTTCCTGTTATTCCTTCTCTTAAGGCCATGCGTGCTTAAATAGAAGCAATGACGTGACTACTGTCTTAGAAGAGTTGGCTTTCAACAGAAAAATGTACAGGCAAATAGCCCATTCCCCTAGAACACGAGGCTGTCTGGCTTGCTAGTTTAGTCTGCACAAGTTAAAAGCAAGGTGTTTTGCATTGGATTACTCTGACTTCATTTTTCTCCTTCTTTCCCAGAGCAACGGAAATATCTTTTAAACAGAGCAAGGGATTCTTGAACGGCCCCATCTCAGAAAGTCAATTAATATTATGCATAGTCACTGTAAATGTTATCATTAAAAAAAAATCACAAGAACGTCATTGACAAGAATGCAATTTACCTTGGGGCAATTTTCTGTAGATTTCCTGCGGCAAAGCTTGTGCAAATAAAGACAATGTATTAAGAAACCAACGACTTATATAAGAGGATCCAAAACACTAGCTTTCATGCACACGTTTGGGTTTTGAAGGACCCCTAACACGCGGCGCTCTAAGGCCAGCTAAGAGTTGCTCAAAGAAAACAGGGAAGAACACTACGCTCTTCAAGAACACTTCCGATGCGCCTTTCCATGCCAACTTTACAACAAAGACTTGTGTCTCAGAAGAAATAAATTTAAAAAAATTTTTTTGAAAATAGATTTTTTTAAAATGTACCATATATACTCGAGTATGTACGGTAAGCTCTGATAAATAGTTTCTAAAGACTAGATGGGACAGTGTCTTCCCACCATCACTGGTTACTACTGTGGGGCAAAGCCCTGGTCCCTTTGTAGTCTACCTTCAACTCAGTCATCCCAGAGATCCTGCGAAGCAGCGATGCTCAGCTCAGAACATTCTAGGAGCTCCAAGCCCTGCGCTGTTCTCGCTCTCACTCTACTCCAGGCACAGGAGCTTTTATGGTTGGAGAATATTTAGTCTTCTATGGCTGGTCCTACTTAGGAACTCTCTGTCGACTCCAACAGGAGGAGTTAGGAGGAGTATTTTAAATATAATACAACCCTTTAATACGTACAAGAATCTCCAAGGGGGGCAAACAGGCCGAGCACACAAACAGGAAGCTCCCCAAACAGACATGTCTCCCCTTCATTGCAATCCACATCTCAGGGGCAACGCCTGTCAGCAACTTCTGAACATGATCTCTTGACACACAGTAGTACTTGCCAAGGACCTTCTACAGAAATGGAACCAGTGCTCCTTAAATTCCATATTTGTTCACATAATAACGGATTTTAAAGACCATTTCATATCATTTCTCAGAAAAAGCGATCTCATCTTTCGTAAGGTTGAAGAGCATAGACACATACCCTAGTTAAAGTAGTCCCCTATCGGTGGATATTTGGATTGTCCTCAATCACTGTGGGGGAGAGGCACTGTGGTATGCTCCAGAGGCTGTGGGAGTAATTCTGACTGACTCTGTGATGTAACTACTGTTAGGGTGCAGCTGACGCAATCTGGATCCCTAGGAGAGAAGTTCACTCTATCCTGCTTCATATTCATTTACAAATGGACATGTATAAAAGTCCATTTTAGGCCTGTCTGCTTTACGACCCATTATAAATGCTAAGATTAGAATGGAGTACACTTTCCTGTAATAAAGAATACAATAAATCTTCAGGAACCTAGGATCTTAACAAGTCTCAACTATGATATAAGAGAGAGAAGAAACAACAAAAAACAGACTTACCGTCCAAAACTTTATAAAGTACTGTAAAACTGTTGTCGCCACAAAAAGGCAATATAATAAGGAATACAATAGAAACAGCAGGAAAAATTTGTAATTAGAAAATCCCACACAGTTATTCACCCTAGAAGAACAAATAAGAAACATCAGCGAACGTGAGCACTGGTTACTTGGCAATGGGTCGTTCGGAGCGGAGCAATACTGTAATTACCTACTGGTGTTTGGAACAGATTCTCGAAGGGGCAGAATTATGGCATTTTCTATTCTCTTAAGAATTTGGCGACTCAATGGCAGTGGTTTGCTTTTTTTTAAATGTTAACTCTTCAATATACCATCTATTATTTGGGGTAAGGACATCAGAGGAAAAAAGCACTTCATAAAAATATGTATGATCTCATGTCTACGAATAATTAAAAGGACCTTCAAAATTTAGGAAACTAGGTAAAACCATTCTAAATTCTCTTCTTCCCTCCTCTCCATCCCCTTACATGATTCGCACCCTCCTGTTTCGTACATACCAAGGACAGTGATGATCCATCTTAAGAATACATCTAAGAAACAAACACACAAACATCAGAAAAACCCTGTGGAAAAGTTTCTAAGAATTTTCTTACATTTTTTTCCCTTTTACAATACATCTTAGACAACTAGCCCAGTAAATACTAGGTGACGGGTACTTTTTGCTATTTCTCCAAGGAAATTCACATGCAAGAAATGCCCCACAGCCCGGCCCAGTTGTCTAGGGCCACATCAGACGACAGTTGAGGGTCCACGTCCGGCCGGTGCGCAGCATCTGGCACACTAGCTCACTCCCAGCTTACAGATGAGCCGAGGGAAGTGCAAGGCAACACAGGTGCTTCTGACGTGGGAGCGCACGTGTGTGCAGGCCATGACAACAAAATTCTGAAAGTATGTTCAAGCAGCAACACTGATGGGATTATAGATGGTTTCTGCCCTCACGTTTTATAGAAATTTACACAATTAAGGGAATTCAGAATCAAAGGGGGAAAAATGTTGCCCCTTCAAGTACATCTCCTCTTTATTTGTGTGAATTAGGACCACAGGGGAGCTCAAGTGAAATAACAAATGAGTAAACGAAAAGCCTGGAGGTAAAGTCACTCATCTAACCAACAATTGAGGACTTGCGGGGATGGGGGGTGGGGTGGGGTGGTGCCCAAACAGGGCTCTCTCCTTCATCACCTGACCCCACAAGGCATTAAAATGTGCATGTAAGCAAGGACTAGATTTATTGTGCAGTGTTTATTTTTAAAAAAATCATTTTATTGGGAGCTCATACAAGTCTTATCACAATCCATACACACATCCATTGTGTCAAGCACATTTTTACATTCGATGCCCTCATAATTCTCAAAATATTTGCTCTCCACTTAAGCCCTGGTATCAGCTTCTCATTTTTCCCCTCCCTCCCTGGCCCACCCTCCCTCATGAACCCTTGGTAATTTATAAATTATTATTATTTTGTCATGTCGTACACTGGTGAGTCCTAGATTTGTTAAACATTTTGTGGGGAAAGTGTCAGAAAGTAATTTCTTAAGAAATTAATTTTGCAGGTCTGTCTGGATAGGACAGGCTGGATGAACAATCTGGAGGAGAAAACAACGGGACTGACAGTTCGGGGGGACATGGGAGAG